TTGCCACGAAACTAATCCACTCGTGTTACAGACCTTCAATTAAACTAATGATAAATATATATATGCAGGCGATGAGTCACAATAACGTGGCTAAAGTATGTTGATCAGACCGCACACTAGAAGGTGAAGGGACGACGACGTTTCGGTCCCTCCTGGACCATTCTCAAGTCGAAACGTCGTCGTCCCTTCACCTTCTAGTGTGTGGTCTGGTCAAAATATATATATGTTTATGTAAATGAATCGTGGAGTAAATTACCAGATTTTATAGCTTGTAAAATACATTTTAATTAATTGAACGGCATTAATGCGACACAGCGTGAAGGGAATCTTCTAAATCGTAGAAGGTAGCGTCTGGGATGCTCCCGGACACAGGTTCGAATCCTCATCACGGCCCTTGTGGATTTGTTCATGGCACATCATGGTTAAGACGGTAATGAGTGTGTCTCGGGAGTCCAGGGGGTCGAGGCCCTTGCATGACACAAATATTTTCTCCATTTTAAACCATGTTATAGATGGCCGTGTATAATGCTCTACGGACTCTTGTAGCTAAGACTGGTACAAGTCTTGGTACTGGTACAAGTCTTGGTACTGGTACAAGTCTTGGTACTGGTACAAGTCTTGGTACTGGTACAAGTCTTGGTACTGGTGCAAGTCTTGGTACTGGTACAAGTCTTGGTACTGGTACAAGTCTTGGTACTGGTGCAAGTCTTGGTACTGGTACAAGTCTTGGTACTGGTACAAGTCTTGGTACTGGTGCAAGTCTTGGTACTGGTACAAGTCTTGGTACTGGTACAAGTCTTGGTACTGGTACAAGTCTTGGTACTGGTACAAGTCTTGGTACTGGTGCAAGTCTTGGTGCTGGTACAAGTCTTGGTACTGGTGCAAGTCTTGGTACTGGTGCAAGTCTTGGTACTGGTACAAGTCTTGGTACTGGTACAAGTCTTGGTGCTGGTACAAGTCTTGGTACTGGTGCAAGTCTTGGTACTGGTGCAAGTCTTGGTACTGGTACAAGTCTTGGTACTGGTACAAGTCTTGGTACTGGTGCAAGTCTTGGTACTGGTACAAGTCTTGGTACTGGTACAAGTCTTGGTACTGGTACAAGTCTTGGTACTGGTACAAGTCTTGGTACTGGTACAAGTCTTGGTACTGGTACTAAGATGCTGAAGCTGGCTCCTCTCCTTAGTCATTATAAGAAGGAAACCGGTCCATCGGGCCTACCGTCCGGTTCATGGGTGATGGGGTCCTATCTTGAGGTTATCTTGAGATGATTTCGGGGGTTTAGTGTCCCCGCGGCCCGGTCCTCGACCAGGCCTCCACCCCCAGGAAGCAGCCCGTGACAGCTGACTAACATCCAGGTACCTATTTTACTGCTAGGTAACAGGGGCATAGGGTGAAAGAAACTCTGCCCATTGTTTCTCGCCGGCGCCCGGGATCGACCCCGGGACCACAGGATCACAAGTCCAGCGTGCTGTCCGCTCGGCCGACCGGCTCCTGGCTGGTTCCTCAGACTGTTTCCTGTACTCCAGGAGTTACTCCTCTGTATCTACTCAGAATGAAACACCCTCTTCCTAGCAACACATTATACATCGAGCAAAAGATGTTTTGCCTGACATCCACATAATTAAACCTGAAGACAGCACCCTCCTAGGAGCTCTTCTTGGGTTAGTTCCGTTATAAACGTCATAAAACACATCATAAATATGACTTTAAGCATCACGAATATATTTTCTATTACATCATGACCCAGTCGATAACAGCCAGTTGGCTACTGAAGTGGATATCTATAAAAGAGAATATTTGTCTAACATTGGGGGCCAGATGCCTAGGGGTAGTCTCACCTAAGTTTTCAAGATGACACATGGGTAGTAGGGGACTCTCATAGGTAGGTTTGGGTTGACAGCCTTGTCTCCTTTTAATACGATCGGCTCTCATTGCCACTACTATAAAGTCTGATATGGGTGTTATTAATAATACCATTGTGACTATTAATCATTTTATTTTGAATAGTTTCCATTCTATGCAAATATCTTTTACAACCTGGCGGGTGAAGAAACACTAGATCACTTAATATTTCAATTTCTATTGTTCGACGTTCCGTCAGAAATGTTACATCTTCAGAAGCACACTAATGAACTAACACAGCTATACTCAGCTTATAAGGAAAAGTGTAGACATTAATAAGTGTGTTACACCTCATTCTACGATTGCCCTAACCCCCTTAATGGTAGGGAGCGGCGAAGGGTGGGATGAGGTGATTGTTGCCTGATTGTGGCTGCTAGCTGTCCGCCAGGTCTTACATCTTCCATCTGGGTCAATGGAGGACCGTCAAACAGTTGTATGCTAAAAGTCGACTTCATGTGGATGTTGACATTGGTAGCCTCGGCTACCAATGTCTTTTGTACAGTCACGGTTGGTCGAGTGGTTAAGGTACCGGGTACGCCAGTTGCATGGTGCTCCTGGCTGTCTGGGTTCGAATCCTTCTGGGGGCGTTGAGTTTTCATTTGCATATTGACCAGGGGACCATTCAAGCTTGTTCGCATATATATATTGTTTCATTGTGTATTATTAAGGGCGAAGATTGACATGAGATCGGCTGGTTAGTGGACCATCTTCCCTACGACTGTTCTCTCCTTAGCCGCACAGTACTAGTGTTAATATTCATGACTCTTACATTATACATATACTTGGTTGAGTCTTTCCTCCCTCTCCCTGCACCTCCTCGCCTCTCCCTGCCTCTTCCTTTCTCGCTCTTCCTAATCCTGCCTCTCCAATCATCGGCCTTCCTCCTCCTCCTGCTCTATTTCTCTGTCTTTTGCTTCCTCTCCCCCTCCTCTCCTTCAATTTCTCCTCATCTACCCTTTTTTCTTCCTTTCTCTTGTCCTGTGCCTCTCCCTCCCATCCCATTCTCTCCCATACACACTCTTGACTCTTCCATGGTTTTTGCTCTGTAACTTAGAGCAATATTTTCCTCGAGGAGAAGAAGAAACAAGAGACGAGTGTCAAATTTCTTCCAGTTACCGGGAAATATCTATTGTACACGAATGTTGTAACTTGTGTCTTGGTGCTTAATCTTGTGTCAGCAGGCCCTTAACTGACCTAGGTCAGCAGGCCCTTAACTGACCTAGGTCAGCAGGCCCTTAACTGACCTAGGTCAGCAGGCCCTTAACTGACCTAGGTCAGCAGGCCCTTAACTGACCTAGGTCAGCAGGCCCTTAACTGACCTAGGTCAGCAGGCCCTTAACTGACCTAGGTCAGCAGGCCCTTAACTGACCTAGGTCAGCAGGGCCCTTAACTGACCTAGGTCAGCAGGGCCCTTAACTGACCTAGATCAGCAGGGCCCTTAACTGACCTAGGTCAGCAGGGCCTTAACTGACCAACAATGGCCTTATTCAAGTTAGATGTGTTGTAGGGAGGTATGAGGTCTCACTGTCACCAGCAACTTGAGAGTGAGACATAGTGAAGGTGACTATGAGAGCAAGGTGACAGGACAAGTTGTCACCATTCCTGATGATCTCATACCCTCAGATGTGACTCATCTGAGGGTATGAGATCGATGGGAGACCTTCCTCTCTCATCTCATGACGGAAAGTTTTGATATTTAATTCATCAGTCAAATCAGGATTATATAAATTGTCTTCATCCATGACCGCGTTACGGGAATTTTAAAATGGATCTTGTTAAGGAAAATGGGCGTAGTTAAAGTGCCGCCATCACTGGGAAGTTAGCGTAGCGATACTAGGTAGCCGAATGAGGCATTTCAGCTACCACCTGGCTTATGGGTTGCCTAAGACGACCTCAAGCCTAGGGCTTCTATACAACTATATATAAGCCAACTGCCTTGCCATATTCAATGCTCATTCATCTTGGGGTGGACGGTAGAGCTACGGTCTCCCTTCATGCAGGGCGGCGTTCAATCCCCGAATGTCCAAGTGGTTGTGGACACCATTCCTTTCCCCCCCTGTCCCATCCCAAATCCTTATCGTAACCCCTTCCAAGTGCTATATAGTCGTAATTGCTTGGTGCTTTCCCCTGAAAATTCCCTACCTTCCCTCACCCTCCCCCCCTCCCTCGAAGAAAATAATGAATACACACTTGAAACTTTTCCGATGGGCAATTCAACAAATCCCGCCCTAACCTCGAAGGCGTTTTGTCCTTCGTGGGGTAAGATAATGACCCTCGCCGAGCCCAACCGCCTCACACCTCTCCCTCTCTCATGACCCCACGTGGCTCAACCCCAAAGTGCTCTTAAGAGAACTAAGTTGCTGGAAAGTTTATGATATTTTTACCCGAGACGCCGCTCCTTGAGCTGCTTGCTCGAGCAGCGGGCTCACTCTTCCATTTTGGCAACGTGAAGCTGCCTGAGCAGGCAGGGTGAAGCTGCCTGAGCAGGAAGGGTGAAGCTGCCTGAACAAGAAGGGTGAAGCTGCCTGAGCAGGATGGGTGAAGATGCCTGAGCAGGCAGGGTGAAGCTGCCTGAGCAGGAAGGGTGAAGATGCCTGAACAAGAAGGGTGAAGCTGCCTGAGCAGGAAGGGTGAAGATGCCTGAGCAGGAAGGGTGAAGATGCCTGAGCAGGAAGGGTGAAGCTGCCTGAGCAGGAAGGGTGAAGCTGCCTGAGCAGGAAGGGTGAAGCTGCCTGAGCAGGAAGGGTGAAGCTGTCTGAGCAGGAAGGGTGAAGATGCCTGAGCAGGAAGGGTGAAGCTGCCTGAGCAGGAAAGGAGAAACTGCCTGAGCACGAAGGGTGAAGCTGCCTGAGCAGGAAGGGTGAAGCTGCCTGAGCAGGAAGGGTGAAGCTGCCTGAGCAGGAAGGGTGAAGCTGCCTGAGCAGGAAGGGTGAAGCTGCCTGAGCTGGAAGGGTGAAGCTGCCTGAGCAGGAAGGGTGAAGCTGCCTGAGCAGGAAGGGTGAAGCTGTACACCTTGGGCGGCCTCATGACGTCACCAAGTTGCAGGCTACCATGATGCAACATTCAACCAACGTTGGCAACCATGATCTAAAATTCATTTAACGTTGGTAATGTTGATACATGGTCAGTTTGGAGGTGTGGTGGGGAGAGTTTGGAGGTGTGGCGGGGAGAGTTTGGAGGTGTGGCGAGGAGAGTTTGGAGGTGTGGTGGGGAAAGTTTGGAGGTGTGGCGGGGAGAGTTTGGAGGTGTGGCGGGGAGAGTTTGGAGGTGGGGCGGGGAGAATTTGGAGGTGTGGCGGAGAGAGTTTGGAGGAGGGGCGGGGAGAGTTTGGAGGTGTGGCGGGGAGAGTTTGGAGGTGGGGCGGGGAGAGTGTGGAGGTGGGGCGGGGAGAGTGTGGAGGAGGGGCGGGGAGAGTTTGGAGGTGGGGCGGGGAGAGTGTGGAGGTGGGGCGGGGAGAGTGTGGAGGTGGGGCGGGGAGAGTTTGGAGGAGGGGCGGGGAGAGTGGTGGTAATGTACTGAGTTAGGGAAGAGACCAGCAGGAGGTGTAATGTTCAAACTTGTTTGTTATCGTTTTCTTAAGTGATTGTGTGTGTGTGTGTGTGTGTGTGTGTGTGTGTGTGTGTGTGTGTGTGTGTGTGTGTGTGTGTGTGTGTGTGTGTGTGTGTGTGTGTGTGTGTGTACTCACCTAATTGTACTCACCTAATTGTGCTTGCGGGGGTTGAGCTCTGGCTCTTTGGTCCCGCCTCTCAACCGTCAATCAACTGGTGTACAGATTCCTGAGCCTACTGGGCTCTATCATATCAACATTTGAAACTGTGTATGGAGTCAGCCTCCACCACATCACTTCCTAGTGCATTCCATTTACTAACTACTCTGATACTGAAAAAGTTTTTTCTAACGTCTCTGTGGCTCATTTGGGTACTCAGCTTCCACCAGTGTCCCCTTGTTCGCGTCCCTCCAGTGTTGAATAGTTCATCCTTGTTTACCCGGTCGATTCCCCTGAGGATTTTGTAGGTTGTGATCATGTCCCCCCTTACTCTTCTCTCTTCCAGTGTCGTAAGGTGCATTTCCCGCAGCCTTTCCTCATAACTCATGCCTCTTAGTTCTGTGTGTGTGTGTTTACTAGTTGTGTTTTTGCGGGGGTTGAGCTTTGCTCTTTCGGCCCGCCTCTCAACTGTCAATCAACTGTTTACTAACTAACTACTAACTTACTAACTACTTTTTTTTCCCACACCACACACACACACCCCAGGAAGTAGCCCGTGACAGCTGACTAACTCCCAGGTACCTATTTACTGCTAGGTAACAGGGGCACTTAGGGTGAAAGAAACTTTGCCCATTTGTTTCTGCCTCGTGCGGGAATCGAACCCGCGCCACAGAATTACGAGTCCTGCGCGCTATCTACCAGGCTACGAGGCCCCCCATGTGTGTGTGTGTGTGTGTGTGTGTGTGTGTGTGTGTGTGTGTGTGTGTGTGTGTGTGTGTGTGTGTGTGTGTGCGTGCGTGTGCACATACCTCTCACCTACAGATAAACATTATAACAAGTCAACCCGTAAGTTTCAACTCGTCCTAATAAAAGGTATTAAGTATTACATAAGAGAGCTTTAAGGTCATTCTCCCTAAAATAACTTTCTGTCAATCGATTTTCTAATTCGATCTCAGGCAAATAGCGTCCGCTGGTGTAAGGTCATGTGTCCTTGGTAAAGGTGTCAGATAAGCTACGTCACGCTTCAAAAGTCAATTGGATAGTGAGATTGTGTACTCTGAATCATCACAATCACAAGACACAAATCAATGCAAAAGCAACATGATTCTATCAAATATCACCTCTGTTTATACTCACATTTAGCCTTCGCCAGAGACGTCCTGACCAGCAACACCGAGGTAACTGAAACAAAGACAATATGGACTTAATATAGCCGAAGCACTACACGTGAAACACTCTCATAAACTATCAACACTTAAGTGCGTCCATACCATATATATGACACTACTACCAGCCCACACCACGGCTCCTGCTCCCAGATGGCAATATGCAAAGCAAGACTGCCCAATCGCTTTGACCGAGTAACACCTCTTATCCTACATGTAAACTGTCCAAACTTGTGTATTTGTATCAAGTTTACATCTGATAATCAACACTGGCTCTTTAGTCTCCTTCCTCCACAGCAACAGAACCAAATGGCCTCTCGTCCCTCATTCGTGTCTTCGGCAATTCACTCTAAATGGCCAGAGAGGCGGCAAAAGGCCATCACGGGAGACTTAAATAAAGGCGTGATAATACCGCTTGCGGCACCGGAGATGAGTCCCCCGCCTGAGATGACGACCGTGGTGAGGGTCGCGGATGCTTACAGGATGCTGTACCACTCATCTCTAACTCTTGAGATGTATTGGCAGCGCCGACCGGGGGAGGAAGTGGGAGGGAATGTGGCCCCATGTTGAGTCCTGTGGAGAAATGAGTCCCCATGATGAATACGTTGATGGAAGAGTTGCAACAGTGACAGGGTTGCAGTGAATAAACAAGCAACGGTGCAACAACAACATTGACAGTATTGCAGTCATGATATAATCACAATTACAGAGATCACACTAACGTGATGCATCAAATGAACAAATCCACAAGGGCCGTGACAAGGATTCGAACCTGCGTCCGGGTGCATCCCAGACACTGCCTTAATCGACTGAGCTACGACAGGGTTAAAAGGGTTGAAACCGAAGTTCTACTGAACTTACTGGATCCCGTAGCCTCTCTGAGGCACAAACACAATGAACAGTGAGGCACATTCACGAAATAGTTTAAATTCGCGCAGGAACGCGCGCCAACAAGTCTACGGTATTCGCTACGACAGTTTCACTATCTCAGAGCCAGTTTGGCGCTAAGGGTAGAGTATACATGCTGTGACAATGTATAACATGTAGACTGCTTCAGTGTGGAGTTCACATATTGTATCACTGAATGTAGTTGACTTCCTCGGTGTGTAGTACATATACTCTTTCAACATATACATACACTCCCCCCTACACATACATACTACATATACATACTGCATCAATGCATAACATGTATGCACTGCCTTAGTTTTCATACATATTCAAACATCACTTTAGTTATGGAACATATTATTGGGTAGCATAAGTTACGTAGGATCTCGGGATTGTTCCAAGCCAAAGTTACATATGTATAAGTATGGTTCGGGTGGATATAAATAGGAGCTGCCTCGTATGGGCCAATAGGAGCTGCCTCATATGGGCCAATAGGAGCTGCCTCATATAGGCCAATAGGAGCTGCCTCGTATGGACCAATAGGAGCTGCCTCGTACAGGCCAACAGGAGCTGCCTCGTATGGACCAATAATCCTTGCGCAGTTTTCTATATTCTTATGTTCACAAGCACCTAACAAATGTTTAGACACACGAGAATTCCTAAACTGGCGAGATGCTCTCTCCTGATAACTATAACTTTCTACTACAGCTCTGGGATGACCACTCATGCCTACAAGAGGGCCACGTCGTGTGACACAGCTGTCCTGACCCCACACTACCAGAGGTCAATAGACGAAAGCCAAAAATATCGTGTATCCACAGTAGAAATCAAGGCATAATTTACAGGCGAATGGTCTGAAAAGGTCAACAACATGTCGGAGATTCTCGTCCAATTGGCAGTTAACTTCTTGGTGCTAAATAAAGCCAAGAACAATTTTGTTGTTCGAAGAAGTCAAGAAAGATATCTTCTTGTCTGTGGAAGTCAAACAAATGCAACAGTTGTTATATGACTAAATTGAGTTGAGATATCGATATCTGACAACGGCGATAACATCTGCTTGTTATCTAGGGACGTCTACAAACATACTATATCTACTTTACATTGTAGTTAAGCTTTCAAATGCGGTCTGTTACACGTTGTCTTCAACAAGCCGGCCACTAATATGTCCAATTTTATCTATTATAGCTTTGTAATATAATCTATTTAGCTTTGCAATGCAATACAATGCAGAATCTCCAATTAATCTCTTAAGGGTTGCTAGTGCAATCTGTTGAATATATTCAATTCAGTCTATTGCACATTATTAAAGCAGTCACGTACACCTGCTTAAAGGTGTTTAATTGCAGCTTGTCGTTTGCAGATTAGCTAAAACAATTACTGCAGTTCTTGAACAGCCTAATATTGCTTTGGAGTTGGCTGTCATTTTCCAGTTTTGTCAGTACAATCCACCAAGTCTTAACTCTAGCATCACTTTAAGCCACCAGGCCTTAACTCTAGCATCACTTTAAGCCACCAGGCCTTAACTCTAGCATCACTTTAAGCCACCAGGCCTTAACTCTAGCATCACTTTAAGCCACCAAGTCTTAACTCTAGTATCACTTTAAGCCAGCAAGTCTTAACTCTAGCATCACTTTAACCCACCAAGTCTTAACTCTAGCATCACTGTAAGTGTGGTTGTTTATGGTTCAGATACACTTCAGATCAGACAAGTTTATATCATAATAACCTTCGACTGTATGAGCATTATTGATTTTCAGACCAATACAAAGTTGCATGTTAATTATTACCCATTTTGAGTATTTAACTTGAATGAAAGAACCAAATACATTTGGAATTATTAAGATAATTCGAAATAATTAGAAAAATTCTAAATAATAAATAAAAATAAAAATTAAGACATTTGAAATAATTAAGAACTTGACAAATCTAATATATTACGAAAGTCTAAAATAATTAGGGACATTTTTAATGGGTAAGAAATTCAAAATAATTATGAAAATCAAAATGTATTCAGAAAACTAAAAATAATTTGGACAATTCTAAATAATTAAAGACCGCGATATAATTAAGAAAATGCGAAATAATTAAATATAATTAAAACAAGACTAAGGGTGAGATCACTGCATCAAACAAACAAACACACAGACAAAAATATACGCAATAGAAGGAGAAGAACACCACCCCCAATTAGTGAGAGCAAGACGAGGAGTCTTGAAAAAGGAGGAGTCAGAAAGGCCAAGAACACTCCCTGGAGATATATAGTTTAATTAAGAATCTCCATTAAGGATAATTACAGGTGGGCGCAGGCACTAAGGCACCTTGTGCCACCTGTGATCACCTGTATGCCTCACAGCTGGCATCTCCACCTTGCAAAACCTTCTGGTATTTACACTCAAATTTTTCTTGTTTTTTTCTTCAATGTGATTTTTTTTTCTTTCTTGGTGGCCTCGTTGAAATTTTTTTTGGGGGGGGGCTTTCATTGTCATGTTTTCTTGAATCCGTTAGTGCATTCTCTCTCATTTTTCTAGCTTTCTTGAGGCTGTTTTTCTCATCTTTCTCATTAACATATTTTAGGTTTCTTCAGTGATCTTTTTTTTTTTTTGGATTCCTCAGTGTTAATTGTCTAATTTTCTTCAGTAGTATTTGGTGCATCTTTGTCTTAGCTTTATCAGTGTCATTTTTCTTCTTGACGTTTTCAACGTTATTTTATTTACTCAGTGCGAAATGTATTGAAATCTATTTTATTGACTTCAATTTAGCGTTAAACGAAAAGCTCAAGTGATTAGAGAGCTTCAGCCTTCAATGTGTACTAGAAATCATTATTGTATCTTAAAAAAATATATATTAGAAAATCCTAGGTTTTATTAGAAAACCTATTTTTCTATTAGAAAACCTTATCTTCTGTTTGAACACTTTAGTTTCTATTTCAAAACTTTATTTTCTATTAGAAACCTATTTATTTTCTATTAGTATCCCTTATTTTTCTATTAGAAAACCATATTTTTCTATTTGAAAACCTAATTTACTATTAGGAAACCTAATATTATATTAGAAAGCTTATTTTCTTATAGAGAGCTTTATTTCTATTAGAAAACGTAAAGATTTACGGAAGAAATATAACTGGCCCTATTATACATTCATATTTATATTATACATTTTTAGTTGACATCAGAAAATTGAATTTGCTATTACAAAAAATTAACTGGAATTTAAATCCTTCAATTGCTATTAGAAAACATTTTATATTATTAACATTATATTATAAAACGTTCTTATCATTAGAAATCTCCATTGTAATTAAAACTCTCTATTGTAATTAAAACTGTCTATTGTAATTAAAACTGTCTATTGTAATTAAAACTCTCTATTGCCATTAGAGAACTTCGTTGCTATTAGCAAACCATATTTGTTATCAGGAACTCGTAGATATTAACAGGTGTCACTCTACAGGGGTTACATGTAGTAACCAACGTTGTTATAATAATATAATTAATAACACCATCTTTATAGTGACATATTGGCTATTATAACACCCTCAAGGTCTATTAGAGAACCTCAAGGTCTATTAGAGAACCTCAAGGTCTATTAGAGAACCTCAATGTCTATTAGAGAACCTCAAGGTCTATTAGAGAACCTCAAGGTCTATTAGAGAACCTCAAGGTCTATTAGAGAACCTCAAGGTCTATTAGAGAACCTCAAGGTCTATTAGAGAACCTCAAGGTCTATTAGAGAACCTCAAGGTCTATTAGAGAACCTCAAGGTCTATTAGAGAACCTCAAGGTCTATTAGAGAACCTCAAGGTCTATTAGAGAACCTCAAGGTCTATTAGAGAACCTCAAGGTCTATTAGAAAACCTCAAGGTCTATTAGAGAACCTCAAGGTCTATTAGAGAACCTCAAGGTCTATTAGAGAACCTCAAGGTCTATTAGAGAACCTCAAGGTCTATTAGAGAACCTCAAGGTCTATTAGAGAACCTCAAGGTCTATTAGAGAACCTCAAGGTCTATTAGAGAACCTCAAGGTCTATTAGAGAACCTTTTAGTTAACAGAAACCAACATTGAAAATGTTTTGTATATTATAGTATACTTTCATTTTCCACTTATTATTATGTTGAAGGTGATATTTCCATAGCACTTTCATCTCCTGTGATAGTGAAACTAGACCTAGCACCTTCACCCCCAGTATGTGATAGTGAGTCTAGACCTAGCACCTTCACCCCCAGTATGTGATAGTGAGTCTAGACCTAGCACCTTCACCCCCAGTATGTGATAGTAAGTCTAGACCTAGCACCTTCACCCCCAGTATGTGATAGTGAGTCTAGACCTAGCACCTTCACCCCCAGTATGTGATAGTGAGTCTAGACCTAGCACCTTCACCCCCAGTATGTGATAGTGAGTCTAGACCTAGCACCTTCACCCCCAGTATGTGATAGTGAGTCTAGACCTTGCACCTTCACCTCCAGTATGTGATAGTGAGTCTAGACCTTGCACCTTCACCTCCAGTATGTGATAGTGAGTCTAGACCTTGCACCTTCACCCCCAGTATGTGATAGTGAGTCTAGACCTAGCACCTTCACCTCCAGTATGTGATAGTGAGTCTAGACCTTGCACCTTCACCTCCAGTATGTGATAGTGAGTCTAGACCTTGCACCTTCACCTCCAGTATGTGATAGTG